CTAGGTCCGCACCCGGGATCCGAACCAGCAGACCCCAGGCCGCCAAAGCAGAGCAGGCAAAAGCAACTGCTGTGCCACCAGGCCTGCCCCGTGAGAGTTCTTTATACACACTGGAAGTTAGCCTTTCATCAGATGTATGATTTGCAAATATTTTCTCCAAGTCTATGACTTGTCTTGTTTTTCTCTTGAAAGAGCAGAGATTTTTTATTTTGATGAGGTACAGTTCATTAAATTGTTCTTTTATGGATCATAGCTTTGGTGTTGTATCTAAGAAATCTCTACCTAACCCAAGGTCATGTAGCTTATCTAATACATCTTCTTGAGGTTCTATAATTTACACTTTGGTTTGTGACCAATTTTGACCTTATTTTTACATACAGTATAAGGTAAGGATAAAATTATTATTTTTATTATATTTCATATTGATAGTCAACTGTTTCCACAATGTTTATTGAAAAGACTGTACTTTCTCCACTTAATGAGTTTGCGTTTTTGTTGAAATCTGCATTCTGTATATGTGTAGGAATAGTTTTGTACTTTCTAACATGTTTCAGAATCTAGTTATCTGTTTTTATGTCAATTCCTTACTTTAAGCACTGTTCTTTTTTATGGTAAATTTATATTACTTTATCAGTTCTTCTTTCTCAAAGTTATCCTGTCTGTTCAAGGTCTTTGCATGGATTTTTCCTTTTTATTCCTGTCTTTTTTAAAGATCGTTTTGCTTTTCTTGTTTAAAGCAAGAATGAGTGTTAATTTTATCAATACCTTCTGCATCAAAGTGACGACATCATTTTTCCTTTTTTTCTAATTAAAAATTTTTTTTTTCATGAAGAAGATTGCCCATGACCTAACATCCATTGCCAATCTTCCTCTTTTCGCTGAGGAACATTGGCCCTGAGCTAACATCTGTGCCCATCTTCCTCTATTTTGTATATGGGACATCACCACAGCATGGCTTAATGAGTGACGCATAGGTCTGCACCCCGGATCCGAACCTGGGAACCCCCGGCCACCGAAGCGGAGGGTGCGAACTTAACCACTACGCCACCAGCCCGGCCCCAATGACATCATTTTTCTTTTTTACTCTGTTAATGTGATGGATTAATTTTATGGAATTTCAAATGTGAATCCAACATGGTATTGCTTCAATCAATCCACTTTTGTTATGGTCTATTTTTTTTGTGTATTGCTGCAATCTTTATGTCAATTTGTGACTGCCATTGACATGTAATTTCCTTTTTTGTGTGATATTATCATCAAAAATACACATAACTCATATTTTATTAGCCTGTTTCATCTTGCTGAAAGTATCTTCTCTTTTCTCTACCCTACAAGAGATATTGTAAGATTGGCATTATATTTTCTTTGTACATATCGCTTACATCAGCATCAAAATGATCTGCAACTGAATGTGGAAAGTTTTTTGAATTACAGATAAAATTCTAATAGAAGTTGTAAGACAATTCTAGTATTTGTATTTCTTTTTGTTTAGTTTTAGTTTTTACTGGTTGTATTTGTTAGAATTTCTTTCACTTTATATATATATTTTAAAGTATATTTGCATTTTTTCATAATATTGTTTTTATGATAATTTTATTGAAGTGTAATATACACGCAACAGGATGCACGTACTATATCCCAACAGCTTACTGAATTTTCATCAAGTGTAACCATCACTTGGAATGAGAAATTGAAATTCCCCTGCACTACAAAATGACCCTCTCATAGCCTTCTGAATTAAAAACTACTTTATATAAATGGAATCATACAGTATGTATTCTTTATTTTTGGCTTTTTCAGGTAAAGCTAAACTTGTGTTATTCATCCATATTGTTTCATGAAGTTGTAAACGTTCAATACCTCCTTGCTGTTCCATTGTCTGATTATACTACAGCGTATTTATCTATTCTATTGCTGACGCTCATGGATATTTGGGTAGTGCTCCATTTGGGGCCACCATGAGTTATTCTGGTATACAAATTTCAGCATAAACAGCATACAGATTTCAATATAAACAGTATACAGATATCAGCATAAACTTTCAGCTAAATATATGTTTATCATTTCTTCCTTCTGTAACCTTAATTGACTCTTCTTTTTATAGCTTCTTGAAAAGGAAGCTGCTCAGATCATTCATTTTAGAACATTCTTCATTTTGAATATAAGAGACAAAGCTATGAATTGTCTTTAAGTATTAATGTAGTTCCATCCTGACTTTTTTATATATTCTCATTTTATTATTGTTTA